GCAAAATTCTCAGTAAAGCCCTAATACTTCTTTGCACTGCACAGATGGAAAGCCTGGATGTATAAGGTAAAACACAGTGGTTTTAATTCAATTTAGTGCCAAAATACTGGAACTATATATATTACATAAATTAGTAATAAATGGGGGGAAACAGCAGAATTGTAATAAAGGATTTAATGCACATACAAGCAAACTTGGTGCTGAAATAGGATTAAGGATTTTCTCACCACAGGAAGTGTTGATGACATCTCGCAGCTCAGCATACTTCCACTTGCTCAGATCATACTTTTTCACACCAGCAGCAGCTTTGGTGGCCTGCACCTGAGGACCTCTGTGGTTAGGAACAGATAAAGTTGGATGAGAAAGGTGAAGCAGAACCTGCAGATGCAAACAGGTGATTTGGGAAGCGGAGAGCCGTGGTGATAGGGGGGAATGTTTCCAGAATTTAAAGCTGATTCTGCATTTTGAATTTCAGGACGGAGTCAAATTTGATAAAGCAAACCCAACAGGATCAGAGATAATCTGGTGAGATTCAAACAGCAGATATGGAATGATTCAAACCTGCAATTAAGAGAAATTTTAGAAAACATTGAATCTTTTTGTATTTGTTGTATCATTGCTTTGATTTAGCAGAATAGAGAAGAAGGAAAACATGCTTTTGCTTTTAAATAAAACAGACTGATAGTAACAGATGTCATTTCAGCTACCTAACAGATTGAGTTTTGTCTCCTTCCCTCCTGCTGAGTTGATCCAGCTAATTCTATATGAGGAATGAAGGGATTTGCCTCTCCTAATTACAGTCAGCATAGTGTCTCTGGATAAGGGAGCTGTTAATCTATGAATCATTAGATTATCTTTTAGAAATCTTACTGAGTGGAGAGATAAAATGAGTTCAGGATCCGTATCATTCTGTTTGTGACATGTGCCGGTGTGCAAAGGTTGTAAATCTGAAAAGCCTTGATAAACATGTAAGAAGAAGCCGAGGCAACGGTCAGCTTTTGGCTCCTGCAGCAGGTTAACAGGAAAACAGGAGGCCTCTCAGAGTCCATCAGCTGATCTTAAAGACAAGTCTGCATACTTGTACTGCACCAAAGCTCTCCTCTTTACACATGCTACACAGATTTAACTTTATTAAACACAATATCTGTTTTCTTCAAAGCTCATATGAATAGCAAAACCAGTTTGTATTTAGTCCTGTCATGATCTAGCATGTTTGCTCTCCCTTAATTGGTAATTTCTTTCACCTGCCGTTTTCCCTCCCTGCCTCAATTATAATTTATTCCTCTCACCTGTTTCCTCTGTTTATATTCAGTTCAGCCTGAGCATTCAGGGCCAGATCATTATTTGTTTTCGTTGAGTCTGTCTGTTCAGTTTGATTTCATGGTTCATGTCCTGGATCCTAGCTGCCAGTGGAAAGAGGGTTTTTGTGTTTGTCTCGTCTCCTGATCATCCACTGTTCCTCCCCCGCGGAGTCCTCTGGGTTTTTGGCTCAATATGTGGGGACGTTCAGTTTTTATCTCAGTAAGCCTGGCTCCAGGGAGGAGACCAGTTTAAAGTCCTGCATCAAGTTCTGGTTCCACGTCCTGTCTTGGCTACCCTCTTCCACTGAGCCTGCCCGTCTGCACCTGATGCTGTGTTCTCCTGTGCGTGACCACCTGGTCATGCCCTTTGGACCCTGTCAGACTCTGAACCCTCCTGGGAGCCTGTGGATGCCTGGAAGTCTGGATCCTGCCTCCTGTTCCTGTCCCTGTCTGTTCTGGATCCCTGACCAGGATCGGCTTCCAGCATGTCCTCTGGGACTGCAGCACTTCGGGACATTCTAGGACTGGACTATTAAACCAGGTAAGTGGCCAACTCAGATAATCATCTTCTGTCAGATGATCGTGATCACTTACCTGTGTTTCTCCCACTACAGAGTGTCTGAGATCGGGCGGTGCCCCGCCCCCCTCCTGCAGTGTCAGCGAGCCTCAGCTCCACCTTAGTTTTCTTTATTTAATAAACGTTTTGAACTTTCCTATTGGCTTTCTCTCCTTGAATACTGGGTCCATCTGCCCTCGGTCCATGACAAGTCC